GTTTTTGGAATAGATGGAAGGATTCTATAATTTTGATTAAAAAAATAAAAGAATTATTAATATATTTTATTTTAATAATAATAATGAAGATGGATGAGGCAACAATGCCTCCGTGTCCTGTATTATATATTCAGATATAGTCAAGTGTGCGCGTGTTGAAGGAATCATGGAATCAAGTTAAATTTCAAAACAATGCGTGTTTTAAAAAAAAAAAAAATTACAAATAACCATTGAATTTCAAAATTTCAATTCAAGAATTATTATAAAAATATGTTGTCTTTTGCTTTTCAAGTGAAGCTATTTTCTTTACAAATACAGTGACCTATATTGATTTAAAATTTTAAAATTCAATAATATTTTTTAGGATTTTTTTTTGCCAGCAAAACCAATATTTTATCTTAGTTCTCACGCTTAACCTCTAAATATAAATCAATTAATCTTTGGTAAAAATTAAGTCATAATCTTATAAATAACTTTATGATATATGAAGTAAGTATATGAGAGTAGTTTTGTCATAAAAACACTTTTTTAAAATAATTTCAGGAGTTACTAAACACCCCTTAATATATGAAAAATATAATTCACTATTTACAGGTTTTAATTTTTTGACCAGAACTATTTACAAGTTTTATGACTGACTAGTTTTTTAGATTTTTTGTGGTAAACATAAAAACTCTGTATTCTTTTGTTTCAATTATAATTCCATTTCTGTTTCCATTCTATTCTTCCAGTAAGTCAGCTTTTGTGAAAAGAATGGGGGGAATTATATTGATCACTTATCATGGAGTGAAGTACAATCCACGTCTCCAATTGGCCAAAAAAAAAAATCTATTGTCGAGCTTTATATTTTTCCCCATTTGCATATTCCTTGGCTTGGCCGCTCAGATCCATCGTCTTTATATTATTTAGGGGTGTCTAGCAACATTGAAAAATCCTTTTCAAGAGTATTTTTCTATAAAACGAGACAAATTTCTCCATATATTTATTTTATAAACCGTAAAAACATTTTTGAAACTATGGTTTGGTTTTTATCCAAACACTCCTTTATTTCCTTTCAATGATTAAAATCAATGTGTTTTAAAACCTAGTTAAGAATGCCTCAAGTTGTTTGGCATGATTATTTGATCCGGTGGTATTCAGGTAATGTCAGATTCTTTTTCTTTTTTTTTTACCAGTTGCCAGCTTCAATTGACGTGGGTCTTTTAAATATACCTTTTATATTCACACGAACTCAAATTCAACATTTTATACTTAACCATCGTATCCCATGTAATATTAGTTTTATAAGGTGATTAGATCTATTTTAAAAAATAATAATATGAAAGACAAAATAGATCATTAAATGTCTTGTATTTAACAAATACATACATTTCAAGTTAAACTCAATACACTGATATTTAGCAATAAAAAAACGCTAGCATAATCATTAATTTTTCCGTGTGTATTCTTTTAATTACATAAAGAATGCTTGAAATTGAATAATGCTGACGCCACGATTAAGTTTGATAACATGAATGACTTTTTAAGTATAGCTAATAAGAAAATCTTTTCATATATTGCTGTAAACAGTTTAAAAAATTATTTGCATGGTAGCATGCTACTCAGATAATACATGGAATTGTTATAAATGTACTACTACTCCAATTTAAATATAAGACTTCTTTTATAGTGTAATTTACACTATAAAATAAGTCTTATATTTAGAACTGAAGGAGTATCGTATTCTGCAGATAATCATAGGCCTTCAATGTTTGGCATTGGTGACTATAATTGTGAGTTTTCCAAGAGACTCGGAGATGCGCGTTAAGCCTATGTTAATGAATCCAAGCCACTAAAATGAAGACTTCTCATCGATTTTTTTTTTCTTTTTGTTGTTGTTAGTATCTTTTTGTCTTTTGATAAGAGTAATATTTTATTTTTTCCAACGGTAATTTTTAGGTTAATGCACCATATTCTTTAGGGCACTATTCAGTGATGAAAGGCATATAAACATTGTTAACGGCAGGGTGTGTCGGTAATAACATCATCTCATCAAGCTTTAATGAGATATTACTCCATCTCTTATTATAAGATCCTTTTAACTAAATTGCGTGATTCCTTAAACAGTTAAAATTAGTTAAAAGTAATTAATATATAGCAAATGTAATTGTTTTTCCAAATATACCCTTTTATATAAATGGATAAATTTGAAAGAGTAATAACAGATAAATGAAGAAAGAGAATGTATTAAATACATTAAATTATGGGCAAAATTGGTAATAATGCATTAAATGTTCAGACAAATTCAAAAGAAATCTTATAAAAAAGAACAAATTTATTAAAAAAAATAGATCTTATAATAAGAGACAGAAGGAGTACTGAGTTAGAGTTTGACATTAATATGTTTGTCCGCGCAAAAAAAAAAAAAGGCACTTACTCTTTTGTGTTATCGCATCATTTAGTGCCTTTTTTATTTGGCAGTGGACGCCCAAACAGGTCCATTTGAGACCGGGACAGATGTTATGAAGCTCATTTCTAAAGTCTGAGTAGTTTTTCTGCAACTTCAATCAATAATCATTGGGAGAATTAGTGGGAGATCATAAAAAAGAAAGGTAGTTACTCAAAAACCTGGATAAAAGGTAACTGAGTGAGTTGTTGAAACTTATTGTTATTTTTTATCCTCAAACTTGTCAATACATGTTATTAGGTTATTGTAATATTTTTGGTAATTATTTTCTTTTATTGGACCTTAGAGTAATTCTCCCGTAATAATTTAATAGAAGGGTTAGCCCCTTCTAATATAGCAAATCAAGGTTTAGATCCCTACCAAAAAAGATACTTACATTTAGTACTCAATAATAAAATTTTGACAGTAGGAGAGTGATCTTGCATTGGAAAAATTTCCGTATAGAATGTTTGTTATTGATGCATTTTAATGAATTTCTAGGAAGTCTTGCCTTTAAACTATATACACTGCACTCAAGATGTCAAGGTTAACCACTTCACTTGACGTGTGAAGCTCACTTCAAATTTTTACAACGTTTTTGAAAAAATGTTAACATGTTAATTTTGCTACTTAGGGCCTGTTTGGGGGTGTTTGGGAAACTGTAAAATTATCAAAAAGACTTTTTCGCAAAACGAAGTAAACTTTTCTATATATTTACTCTGTATATTGTGAAATCATTTTTAAAACTATAGTTTCATTTCCATCCAAACATCCCTTTTAGCAAACATCCGAAACCATAGTTTTAAAAATTTGCCAAACAAGGGGAAAAATGAACAAATCATAGTTCTGAGCTCAAAACCATGTTTTCAAAAGAAATGAATCCATTATGTTTCCCAGTCAAATTGGAGAGTATGATTGTGCCTGTCAGAGTATCTCCTAACCGTAATATGACTTTAACACCTCTCAATTATTTTTCCATAAGCATATTTAATCTTATATTTTATAAATATATATACACATATTAATTATTTATTAATTATATTATCCTATATATTATTAATTATGTTGGTAAAAAATATATTATTAACAATTTTATTCCTTCAAATTAAAATATATTATAAAATCTATCTTTTATATAATTATCATATTAACTCATGCTCTTTTTAGTAATTCGCACATATAAAAAGTGCTTCTGATAACAATTATCCAAATACTTTCATTTTATCAGAATTACTTTTTCACAAAATTTGTTCTTCCAAAATCTATTCTATCGAAGCTGTTTTCCAAATTATGATTTGATTTCATCCAAACACCTCCTTAATGCGTTAACAAACTTAATCTTTAAATGAGTGCTCTAGTATATTCTCACTTAACATGTAGACGTAATATGAGTCTTGGCGTGTTTATCTTTTTCATCTTTTTGAAGTGTCCTGTTAAAACTCATTTTCTTTATCTATTGCTCAGGTTTCATTATTTCAATGTTCTATTTTTTTGTTTGGGTTGGCAAAAGTTTTTTTTTAAAAATATCCAATTTACTATTGGAGACATAGCGCGTGTGTCAAAAAGAACAAGTCCTATATTACTCAAGAGTGTGGAAGTACAAGTCCATTTAATACGAGTTTGTGTTATTAGGCAAATGAATGGGTGTAGAAGGAGAATCTCGTGCATATGACTATGAGCCACCAAAGGCAAACGCCACAACAGATTTTGTTTTAAACTAATATTAACATGCCTTAATCCCCTTATGCATCTCACACTTGAGCTTTTGTGCATGCCCCCATGCCTTAATTACCCTTATGCATCTCGCACTTGAGTTTTCGTGCATACCTACTCCTTTTTATAAAATTTCTTCTACCTATCTGAGTTTTTTTAAATCTTCTGTTGTTCTATTCGCCTTGTTCTTATAGGAAGAGTCCATTTAATTATAGGGAGTACCACTTCCTTGTCTGCCGGTGGTTGTGAAATAGCTCTTAAAGATAACATTCATGGTGGTTGCGAAATAGCTCTTAAAGATAACATTAATAGAACGTGACTTAGATTGATCGTCTTTTTGCAGTTGCTACTGCCACCATCTACTCCCTTTTGAGTGCCAACCTTTATTTGAGAAAAACTTTTTCATGCTTCCAACGTTCTTATACAAGCGTAGCATGTGAAAAAGGCTTTAAGAGATGTTTTGAGTTGATTTTAAATTTTGTGTGCATTTGATATTCTTTTTCTGGTCTCAGATTAGCATGGTTAAAAAGAATGGACACATAGTTTGTGGCTATGTATAACAGCAATAGGGCAAATTGAGTTCGAACCCTACCCTGTTAAAAAAGCCTTTAGACAGCGGCATGAAAAGACACCAAGCGCCCAGAAGAGGTTTTTTTTTTTTTTTGGAGCTGAAGCGCCCAGGAGGGTTAAAACAGAAATTTACCTGTGGTTTATGTCCCCGTGTTGTTATTCTTTTCTGGAAAAGAGAAGGCAAGGTTATAAAGGTTAAATTGCAACTTTAAATAATATTTGTTTATTTGAAAAATGAAAATCTAAGAAACAAAAGAAACCGGCAAAGTGTTCGAGGGTTTTCTCGCGCATTTTGGCGGAACAGAAACCTCTTTGCTGCTCAACTGGAGGCATTTCGCTTTTACATTCTCTGATCAGCCCTAGCTCGCCCTCCTGCCTCTGGGATCTCAACCACCCTACTCCGGTCACCGCGCCACCGTCCATTCTCTGACCAGCATCAGGTAACTGCCATTTCCATTTTAACCCGTGCGTTAAAGGTTTTGGTCGCTCGCTGCACTTCCCCGTCCCACGGCGCTGCTCGCAGCGGCCTCCCCCGCTCCCTTCCATCTTCATTCGAGCCTTGGAGGGAAGAGGGGCGTTTGGGATTTGAAGTCATGCCTGTTTAGCGCTTTTCTGGATCATGCTCGGCTAATGACTGAGTTTACTCCAGTTGATAACTGGGTTCTCTGTTTATGGAAATATTTGAGTTCTAACCACTTGCTAATCTTTTTAGTTGGTGAGCAGCGTGCACCTCAAGTCACCAAGGAGCTTCTTTAGTGCTTCAGGGTTTAGTTTTGCGTCGGCGAGTTGCCAGCAGTATCTCATATCTGAGAAATCATGCACGCCCCGGTTCTAGTGCTCAGTGAGTTATTGCTTTCTCTGTATATCGTGGATTGATGAGGATATTGACCGTCAAGTGCCATCGATTGATCTATTCAAAATTTGTTTCATGTTGTTTGGATTGTTATTGGAAGCAATGCACCAATGCCATCACTTGTTGTGTATTCAATTTTGTTCGATCGTTTATTACTCTATTTTGCTCATCTAGTAACTCTTGAAAATGGACAGAGGACTCTTTGAAACGGGAGTCTGGAAGCAAGGTGCAACATGCTAATATTCAGGCATCGAAGGTAACAATTTCTTATCACTTCCAGATTTGGGTTTTCCTGTGCTCTACTGCCCCCACTATTGGCAGTCTTACTTTGTAATGGTACTCTTTGAAGGCTGAAGTCTTGTTGGTTGGAAAATATGTTTGATATTTTTGTTACATTAGGGTATAAAGGTCATGTAATGAAAAAGATTTCTAGAGTTTTAGTTGATAATTTTTTATAGGTTCTGGACATTCTTCAATGATTGATGTGAACTTTACATGTTAGTTAAGTGTGATTTCAAAGTTTGTACATGGTTTTATTTCCTTGCTTCTTTTCATGGACATTCTTTGCCTTTGTTATGGTATTTCCGGATAGTGTAATACTTGATCTTCCAATGATAAATAATTTATATTTGCTTGAAAATTTTGAATTGTCAACAGATTTGGCCTCTATCATGTAGTTTATTCCGGCCTACACTCTCTGGTCATTGTAATTTAATGCTGTGAATGTATTTATAATTCTTTCCAGGCTGTTGCTGACATAATTCGTACAACCTTGGGACCCAGGTCCATGTTAAAAATGCTACTTGATGCCAGTGGAGGTTAGGGTTTTTATTTTTTTATCACGTTGGAATTTACGGGTAATTGAGAACTTGTGTGTATTGCATCTCTTCTTAGGGCAGCATGATTTATGCCTTCAATGCTTGAGAAAGTGGTACCTTTGTCGGTTATAGTATACTGAAGTAATTCGTAATTAACCGAGCACTTTCTTGACTTATTTAGTGTTTTTAGCCCTATGTTGGAGCTCTATAAACTTTAATTGCCTTTCCGTAGTTTAGGTTATGTTGGAAGCTGCATTTTAAGACTGTCTTACCAGTGTAGTTTGTGCTTTAAACTAATCCAACGGAACTGAGGTCTGCCATTTCTTCTTCGTCTACTTTTTTTTTTTTAATTTACAGGAATTGTGGTGACAAATGATGGAAATGCTATCTTGCGTGAATTAGATCTTGCTCACCCAGCTGCTAAGGCATGATTTATATCTCTTGCTTCACTTTGTTGATATTTGCACTCATGGTTTGAAACTTTCTGATATTGTTTTTTTGTTGGAATTGCTTAGTCTATGATTGAGTTAAGTCGCACCCAAGATGAAGAAGTAGGAGATGGAACAACATCTGTCATCATTCTTGGTATGTTTTAACTGTGTTTAGTTTAATCTTTTTATGAATTATCATCTAGACTATACCTCTTGTGGACCTATTCAGTATTATTCATTGTTCTTTTATCATTTTAATGAAATTGCTTTTATAGCTGGCGAGATGCTCCATGTCGCTGAAGCATTCATTGACAAAAATTATCATCCTACAGTCATTTGCCGAGGTAAGCAGTGTTCATTAGTGGTTCTTTTGCGGAAGTCTCTGAGATCGTATTTGACAAGTGATGACTTACATAATTATGTAATGGACAGCTTATAACAGAGCTCTCGAGGATGCTATTGCTGTGCTTGACAAAATTGCCATGCCCATTGATACCAAGGATCGTAAGTTTAATTGCTATTTTTATCATAAGATTGTTTCTTCCTCATATTGGTTTTGTATGGTTTGTATTTTGTCAAGCTTTTTCAATCCTAAACTCCCTGTCTTGTGGTAGCCAAAGTGATGCATGAGTAAGATGCTTAAGTAGTGCTGAACTCAGATGGATTTTATTTTAGGACCCATTGTATTGAAACTTGAATTGGTTCAACTCAAATCCTAGTGCAACTTGTACTAATTTGGCCATAAACCGGCAAGGATATGGAGTGAAAATTACAGTTGAGTTACTTCTTGTTGGTTATGATCATAGGTGTGGTCTGTTCATGACTCCCTGCAACTTGAAGTCTAAATCAGTAAATCTAGATGAATCTTTACAGTATAACTCGCTGCTGTGAATCAATGGCATGTAATTGTCAGTGTTGTGCTCCTGCCCCTTTCCACTAGAGGAAGTTGCTTTATAGAGCCTGTCACACTTTTGAATTTTGTTTATGTTTGTAGCCTGTTTATCCTTGTGTGTTTAATACGTAAGGATTTATGTGCATTTTCTTGCTTTAAAATAAAAGTACTTTGATTTCATCCGTGAGATACCTCTTTTTTGTGGAAATTTTTTTTCACTGCCTTGAAGTTTACATGCTATTGATGAATCATGCTGCAGGAGGTACAGTGCTTGGCCTAGTGAAGAGCTGCATAGGTACCAAATTCACTAGTCAATTTGGAGATTTAATTGCTGTGAGTAACATGTCTCCTTGGGCTAGATTTTCAAGCTGGTTTTTGCTCTTTCATCTTCTTTTGGTCAAGAAAGTTGTTCTTTTTTGCCTTTCTTTTTCCTTTTCTTTTAAGTTCTGACACGTGGATCTTGTATAAACCTTTGATTAAAGAGGCACAATTCTTAAGAGTTGCGGTGGGTCATATGGTCAACTGTTTCCCCCTTTCCCTTCTCTTAATGAATTTGACTTGCTTGTTTCTGGTTTATATTGTGATTTTAGCATGTAATAAGTCAATAAGGTTTTACATCTATATCATCTGTAACTTTTGGTGCTATGATTTTACCTCCATATTTCTGGAGCTGGTAAAGCTTCAGAGCTTTGCATCTATAGATGCAATTTTTTCCCACCTAAATTGCTGACGCATGTGCATCTAGCAAATAGTTCTGCCAAGTGATCATTGTTTAGCAGATTTTCTTGTTCTTCATCAGTTTTGTTGTTTCTATTCAAGTAAATGAGATAAAAACCTATGTGCTATCATGAGTGCAAATAACTGCTAGGAGTCTGCAAAATCATGGAATTTGCCTTATATTTGGGGAAAATTGCAGGATTTAGCCATTGATGCTACCACAACAGTAGGTGTTGATCTTGGCCAAGGTTTGAGAGATGTGGATATAAAAAATTATATTAAAGTTGAAAAGGTCCCTGGCGGGCAGCTGGAGGATTCTAGAGTTCTTAAGGGAGTCATGATAAACAAAGATGTGGTTGCCCCTGGCAAAATGAGGAGAAAGATTGTTAACCCGCGAATCATCCTTTTGGATTGCCCCCTTGAGTATAAAAAGGGTGAAAACCAAACAAATGCTGAGCTGCTCAGGGAAGAAGACTGGAACATCTTGTTGAAGATGGAAGAAGAATACATCGAGGAGATGTGCATGCAGATATTGAAGTTTAAACCAGACTTGGTTGTTACGGAGAAGGGACTTAGTGATTTGGCATGTCATTATCTGAGTAAGCATGGAGTCAGCGCAATCAGGAGGCTGAGGAAAACTGATAATAATAGAATTGCAAAGGCATGCGGTGCTGTTATTGTGAACAGACCAGATGAATTGCAGGAGTCTGATGTTGGGACTGGTGCTGGGTTATTTGAAGTTAAGAAAATTGGAGATGAGTTTTTCGCATTTATTGTTGATTGCAAAGACCCTAAAGCTTGTACTGTACTTTTAAGGGGTGCCAGTAAGGATCTCTTAAATGAAGTTGAAAGAAACCTCCAGGTAAGCTTATTGTCTGATACATGATCTGAGGGCATGCATTTTTTCACATCACTGCTTTCTGAAGCTTGTTTTCATGCCAGGATGCTATGTCTGTTGCAAGGAACATTATAAAAAATCCAAAGCTTGTTCCTGGAGGTGGGGCTACGGAGTTGACTGTATCAGCAGCTTTGAAGCAGAAGAGTTCATCCATCGAGGGCATAGAGAAGGTGAATGTGACATTGCCGTTTCTTCTATTTGAGGACCACTTCATATGGAGCACTTCTCTTGTTTTCCCCTCTCTTTTTTTTTAACAAAATATTTTAATTGATATCCTTTGGGCCATGAGTCCTGACTGCTATGATTCTTGCTGACAGTGGCCTTATGAAGCTGCTGCCATTGCGTTTGAGGCCATACCCCGTACTCTAGCACAAAATTGTGGGGTAAATGTGATTCGGACCATGACTGCACTGCAAGGAAAAGTAAGACCAGAAATATTTGCTTATGCTATTGTGCTTCCCCCCCCCCCCCCCGCGGGCCCCAATATTTAATTTTGATTTTGGTGTTGGGAACTTGTAGCATGCAAATGGAGAGAATGCATGGATTGGCATTGATGGAAATACTGGTGCCATCGCTGACATGAAAGAGCGGAAGGTACCATACTTTAGTTGCCTTTTGTAAATTTGGATGGTTCTCCCACAACCAAAATATGTGACACAATAAAGGACCCATGCTCCTCTCCGGGGCCCTCCCCAGCATTTGAGCTGACATTTCTTGATATTTTGTTTCATGTTTTGGATGCCCTTGGTTGTCTTGGTAAGCATAATGTGTCAATGTGAAATGTATTGTTGATGTGATGCCAGATCTGGGATGCCTACAATGTGAAGGCACAAACATTTAAGACCGCCATTGAAGCTGCTTGCATGCTTTTGAGAATTGATGATATAGTGAGTGGAATCAAGAAGAAGCAGGCTCCTGGAGCTGGCCAGGCTCCAAAGCCCAAGGTGGAGACTGAGGCAGATGCTGACGGTGAGCAAATTTTGCCAGACTGATGACAGTTAGACGTTTCTTTTTGACATTGTTGAAGATCTTCAAGTTTCTTGGTGAGCTTTGAATCTAATCACAATTCTTAAAATTTTGGGCCCTCGATAGTGCTGTTGTGTTTTTTTACTTCGTACTGTTTTTAGGAGGGATTGCAAACTGTTTTTTCTTGATGGTTTAGTGGCATCTGTTCATCTGCCCGTTGTTTTTCATAGACTTGAATTTGAATGCCGGGGTAAGATCTGAGCCGAGGCTTTATATTTTGTGTAATCAGGCTTCTACTAGAGAACTATAGTTGTTAGTTGTTAGTTAATTTATTCTTAGTCGATTTGCTATGTATGATGGGATCCTAAGCGGGAAAAGATTCCATTGGACTATCTATTTTACGACTACTCTCCACCATTTTAATACTAATCCTTAAATTTGCGTGAAAGGATATACTCTTCCAGTCCTTAATATAAGACCCATTTAACTAATTTGATTAGATTAAGGAAGTTAGGTAAGTTAGTTAATTATAAGAAAATTGACACATTTTTCCTAAAACACCATAATCATCTTTCTTAATACCCCCTCTCCTTCTTCTATTTAATTATGGTTGAGGGAGTATCTAAAAGGGTAATTTAGAGAAAATTGATAAATATAAGAAATGGGTCTTATATTTAGGATCAAAACTAACTCAAGAATTGAGTCTTATATTAAGGGCCGGATGAGTACATTTTTATTAATAACCAAGTTTTCACGGAAAAATAACAACCACCAAGTAGTCCTATAATTTTTAATGACTTATTAATTACTATTTAGAATTAGAAGATTGTTTAACTTGACAATGCTTTTTTCCTTGTCTGTTTAACTCTACTAGACTATTTAAAAGATAAGTTAGCTTTGTTGAGCAAAATCAACTGGGCAGATAATTTCATTTTTGTGAGAAAAAGGTGTTTTTAAGATGGTCGGGTAGCACGTGACATTAAAATAGAATCAATCATTAATTAATTTCCCAAGAAAACGTGACATTCATAAGCATTTGATAATTGACAGAAGCTGATCGCGGGATCGTAGGTTCAATTTCTTTTTAATATCGCCGAACGAAAAGAGTCGAGGTTTTAAAATGACTGTTCCATTAGAACGCTGCGAGTCGATCATCCCTCGTTTAAATTCAATATATAATCTGATCCAATGTCTATATTATAATAATTGGAAAAATCCTCTGATTTTATTTCAAGTAGAATAATACTATACAAAAAAACGGAAGCATCTTTTTAGCTGTTGATTTTTTAACTCAAAATTTCATCTCAATTCCTTAATTTTATAAAATAAAATATTTTTTTACTCTTGCCTCATTAATACTATTAATGGTAAGTGTGGCCTCCCCCTCGAAATCGTCACCGGCTTTTTATCACGCTTTTTCATGTCGACAACATGGGGGGATAATGTTGGCAACAACAAAAAAGAGGGGATAACTCTAATAATGCATGTGTGTATGCAATTACTATATTAAGAAGATGTTTGGATAAAAATCAAATCATGATTTTAAAAGTGTTTTTATGGTTTATAAAATAAATATGTGGAGGAATTTGTTTCGTTTTATAAAAAAGTGCTTATGAAACTATTGTTGGAAAGTTGCCAAACACCTCCTAAATAATTAACGGTATGATTTTTTTTGGATACAATTAATGGTGTAATTATTACATTTCATGCAAATGATGCCGTGAGAAAAACTTACAGTACTCTATTTAAAGACTTTAATGAAAATAATGAGTCTACCACGCATTAAATGCAGTTTGAGAAATTAATTGCACGTGATATGAATAGGACAATTGATTTGTTACTGTGACATGACATTTTGTTACTCCTAAAATATTCTAATTTTTTTTTTAACGATGACAACCTATATTAGTATTCTAATATTTTCAAATATTACTAATTAAATACGATTTCTCCTCTTGCAAAGAAATGCACAAAATTAATAGAACATAACAATCTTAAAAAATATTCCATCTAATAATAAAGAGCGGAATTTTTTTACCAGAATAAAGAGCGGAATTACTACTACTTTCTTATGCCGTCTTTAATTAAATTCATTAAATTTCCAATATAGTATTTTTTAGATAAGAGAGAAAGTCAATAAAACAATTTTCAATACAGAGGTATTTGAGAAAAAAATTTAATACTATACATTTTACAGTGTGAATTAAGACAATGAAAAATCTTGTACTCTTCTGGTTCTAAATATAAAACTCATTTTAATATAATTTATATTATAAAATGATTCTTATATTTAGGACCGGAGGGAATAGCTTATAGTAAGGAAAAGTATTAATTTATAAGTAATGGTGGCTACAGGTTACCCTAATCTGATTAGATGGACAACTCTAGGTTCATCAGACAAGATTGCTAGGCTCAAATCATTTCTAAAAACTTATTTGAGCATTCCTTTTTCTTTATGCGTTGACTGATTTAAAAAATTAATGCTAGATCGGTAAAAAAAAAAATTAAGTTCGTTGGCCTAAAAAAAAAAAATCGTAGTGGGTAATTCATTCAATGGCAGATTCTAAAATTGCCGCGCCAAGGTGGGAAATCCCGAAAATGAGTGAATTCGACAAAAAAAATTTCAATTTGAGCCATAGGCGCCAAAAATGGTTTCGTGCGTCCCCGCCAAAGTTGAAGGCCGAGCCAAATCATTTCCAGACGAGCAAGCAGTAACGCACTAACGTTTCTGCCAAAACCGCTGCTCCAATCAGCTCATACTGCTCCAGTTCATTCCTTAGTTGTTTCTTTCCTTTTCATTTCATACATCAGAAGATTTGAAACAAGGAAGTGCTTTTAACGGATGGCACCCGCGGCCCGTCTAGATTCTTCAGTTCCCAATGATTCATCTATCGTTGGTGTTCCGAAATCAGGTATATAAACCCATTTTCTTTCTCTTGCGCTCTTGCACAAGCTATAAGCATCTTCTTGCTGTTGTCTGCATTTCTTTTGTGGAGAGACTCTGGGTTTTGTTCCCTGTCCTTTTTATCTCCACAAGGTAAGTGACACTGCGATTTTGTCAGACCACGATTTGTGTAGAGTGGTTCTTGGTGGATGATCGTGGACTTATTCTTCTGTTTTGCTCGTGTGTTAATCCAAAGTGTGGAATCGTTTTGTCTTAAATTTTTGTTCTGCGAGTTTAACACTAGGGCTTTGCTTTATTGTTTGGGTCTGGGTTTGATTATTTCTTGCCTTCTTCACTGGGTGCGCAAAACTCGTGGTCTTGCCGAACCAAGGTGTTTTCTTAGATTGTTAGTCAATGAACTATTTCTCCCACCTTTCTTTCTTTGTTTTTTTTTTAAATTTACCCATGTATTTCGTTTGCTTATAAATCTTATACTTTGAGTATAAATTTGGGGCTTTATTTTGTTGGTTCACACTGGTTTTTTCGTCTTCTTCACTGGGTAATGTGACTTGTGTTTTTTCCGAACCGATATGTTCAGAGTGAGTTGGGAGGAACGATTGAATTTCTGTTGTGTTTCCTTGGTATATAAAACCCTCAGCTCGTGCAATGGTTCTAGAGTTGCTAATTGCTGGTAGCAGAAGTCATCATTCCAATGTGATAAGTTGGCGGTTCAATTTTTTTTGTCATATATTATAAATTTTAAAACCAATGATTTATATACTATTATTCTAAACAGTAATGAAAACAAGCCTTCTTAGTTTTAGGTTTGAATCATATTGCATAGGGATATGAAGCATGTTTGAGGTGTGACGCAGATTGATTTGCTGCCTTGCTCCAATCCCTTAAACTATAAAACTTGTGTTTTTTCCAAACTTATTTCAAATCCTAGTCAAATGCTGACTTTTCTGACGCTAATAGTGCATAACGAATTGGGTACGTGGGGGGTAGGTCTAAGTCACCATCTCTTTCTTATAAGAACATCTTTTGATTTTCTTTCAAGAAATGAAAAAAAGGAGCAGGAAGAATGAAAACAGCTAATATATTTGAAAATTTATTTGCTGTATCCATAGATCATGCCTTAGATTCTGCAGCTTATACAATGTTATGCAGGTAGGGTTTATTTCTTATTTATTGAGATCTGATTGCGCATTTTCAATTAGCTATGTTGCTCACAGAAAATCATGGTTGTCACTCCATTTCTAACTTTATCTATCTTTTCTTACCATGTATTCCTTGTTTTGTCACTCCATTTCTTTGTATCTTTTTCCCAAATCCTTTTTTGATCATATACGAAATAAATACTTGTGAAATTCTGTCCTCACTGTGCAGTTGCTAGTTCTATCTTGTTACTGTTGCACTTGCAATCTTCGTTTATATATTTTCTTGGCACGATGTATTTTTATGTTGTTCTAGAGTCAATTTGTGTTTGGGTTCTATCTGTCTCAGTTGCCTTGAGCCTTTGTAGTACCTTTAGCTTTAATTATTAACTTCTGGTTCTTCATCATGTATATAAATGTGTCATCTTTTTCTTTGACGCCATGGACATTTTAATTAATTAGGTAAAAAGAACAGCAAGAGCAAACAAAAATCTGTTGTCTCCAAAATCAAAGAGGAAGTCATGGCTGGAGATAAGCCAAGAAAGAGAAGCTCTTCACAGAGAAGTGGGCAGCCCAATGGTTCTCGCAAGATGCCAAAAAGAGCTGCATCATGTAAAAGTTTGAAGGAAAAGTCTGTTCACTTACCTGAGAAGGCTTGTCTTATTGAAGTCAAGAAGGAAGAGGTTGTCGACGAGGAGTTTCTAGCTGTGCGCCTGACTGCTGGGCCTGATGATGGTGAAGGTCGCCCTAATAGGAGGCTCACAGACTTTATTCTTCATGATGAAAATGGTACAGCAAGACCTCTGGAGATGCTGGAAGTCAATGATCTGTTTATCTCTGGACTTATTTTGCCCCTTGAAGAAAGCCTTGATAAGAAGAAAGAGAAAGGCATCAGGTGTGAAGGATTTGGTCGCATTGAATCATGGGACATCTCTGGTTATGAAGATGGCTCTCCTGTGATCTGGCTTTCTACTGATGTTGCTGATTATGACTGCTTAAAACCTGCCACTTGTTACAAGAAATTTTATGATCCTTTCTATGAAAAGGCCTGGGCCTGTGTAGAAGTTTACAAAAAGCTATCAGTATCATCGGGTGGGAATCCTGATACAAGTTTAGATGAGTTGCTTGCTGGCATGGTACGGTCCATGAGTGGGAGAAAGAGATTTTCTGAAATTTATTCTGTGAGGGAATTTGTTATTTCTCAAGGCGAATTTATCTATAACCAACTGATAGGCTTAGATATGACATCCAAGAAAAATGATAGGATGTTCTTGGATATTCCAGTTCTTGCTGCCCTAAGAGATGAGAGCAAGAAACAAAGAAACCTAATGCATGCGCAACCAATTAATGGTGCTCTAAAGATTGATTCAGGGGTTGGGGATGGAGAGAAAGAGATTCAGGCAAGTGCAACCACCGAACTAGCTGAGGAAGATGAGGATGTAAAGTTAGCCAGGTTGTTGCAAGAGGAGGAGTATTGGCAATCCATGAAGCAGAGGAAAAACCACAGATCTGCCTCTGCACCAAGCAAATTTTACATTAAAATTAATGAAGATGAGATTGCGAATGACTATCCTCTTCCTGCATATTACAAAACCTCTCTTGTAGAAACTGATGAGTATATAGTTTTTGATAATGATTTTACTGAGTATAACCCTGAGGATCTTCCTAAAAGCATGCTAAACAATTGGTCTCTATACAATTCAGATGCCAGGTTGATTTCTTTGGAACTTCTTCCTATGAGACCCTGTTCAGAGATTGATGTGACCATCTTTGGATCAGGACTTATGACTGAAGATGATGGAAGTGGATTCAATCTGGATACTGATGTCAGCCATTCTTCTTCCACGGGGTCGGGGTCACAAGCGGCAGATGGAATCCCTATTTATCTGAGTGCAATAAAGGAATGGATGATAGAATTTGGTTCATCCATGATTTTTATCTCCATTCGGACTGATATGGCCTGGTATGTCGTCCTCTGCATAAAATTGAGAGAGATGTGTTTCTTAAAGTATAATGTAAACCATTTCTGTATCGTGATAAACAATATGGGTGTGGTTGATTAAAAAAATATCGATGTGATACCTCTGTTATTTATAGCAATCTTATCTGAAGCAAAATGAAATTAGGAAATCCATTTGTGTGGAATTGAACATTTAAGTATTACTATTTGTTTCTTCTATTGCTCATAAGTTGGGATATCTGTAATAATAAGTGAATTTGGAAAGCCACACAAGTAGAAGTGAAATTGTACATAAAATGTTGATGCACATGTATTTAATAGGAATCTGACAGTAGATCTTAATAATGACATTGAAACTTTCCTTTCAGGTATAGACTAGGCAAGCCATCCAAGCAGTATGCTCCTTGGCATCAAACAATTCTAAAAACTGCAAGGCTTGCTATCAGCATAATCACCTTGTTGAAGGAGCAGAGCCGAGTATCACGGCTTTCTTTTGCAGATGTCATTAAGGCAGTGTCTGACTTTGGTCAGGATCATCGCTCCTACATTTCATCTGATCCAGCAACAGTTGAAAGATACATTGTTGTCCATGGACAGATAATTCTGCAACTGTTTGCAGAATATCCTGATGCGAAGATTAGAAAGTGTGCATTTATCAGCGGTCTTATGAGTAAGATGGAGGAACGGCGCCACACTAAGTGGTTGGTGAAAACAAAGAAGGTTGTGCCCAGAAGTGAACCAAATTTGAATCCTAGAGCAGCAGTGGCTCCTGTTGTGTCAAAGAGGAAAGCCATGCAGGCTACGACAACAAAACTTATTAATAGGATATGGGGAGAGTATTACTCTAATTATTTGCCTGAAGATTCAACTATGAGTGAACCAAAGGAGGAAGATGAAGCTGAAGAGCAGGAGGAGGAGCAAGAAGAAAATGAAGATGATGATAATAAGGGGGATGCATCATTGCCTTTGGAGGAAACCCATAAAACCCCTTCAGTGTCAATACAGACCAAATATCTTTCTCTGGATGGAGAAGTGAGATGGGATAAAAAGAGTGAAGGTAAAACAAGTTCTGGCTGTGTCCTATACAACAGAGCTATTGTTCATGGAGAAGAAATATCTGTAGGGCAATTTGTGTCTGTGGAAGTAAATGAATTTCCTGACATCTATTTGGTTGAGTATTTGTTTGAATCATTGAAAGGAAGAAAAATGTTTCATGGAAGAATGATGCAGTATGGATGTAAGACAGTTCTTGGCAATGCTGCTAGTGAGAGAGAATTGTTTTTGACAAATGAGTGTAAGAATTTGGAACTGGAAGACATCAAGCAGATTTCTGCTGTTGATATTCGGAAAATTCAATGGGGACACCAACATCGGAAGGATAATATCTCTGCCGACAAAGTTGATAGGGCCAGAGCAGAAGAGAGGAAGAAGAAAGGGCTGCCTATAGAGTATTATTGTAAAAGCCTGTATTGGCCTGAAAGAGGTGCTTTCTTTAGGCTCCCATCTGAGACTTTGGGTCTAGGCACTGGCATCTGCCACTCTTGCAAATTGAAGGAAGCCCAAAAGGAAAAGGATAAATTCTCTGTAAACTCATCCAAGACTGTTTTTCAATTTCAAGGAACTGAATATGCTCTCCATGATTATATTTTTGCAAATCCTTATGATTTTGAAGACAGAATAGAGCAGGGAACTAACAAGAGTGGAAGGAACATAGGTTTGAAAGCATTTGTTGTGTGCCAATTGCTGGAGATTCTTCTGAAAAAGGAAAAAGGGGAACCTGAAGTGAAATGCACCAAGGTAAAAGTCAGAAGGTTTTTCAGACCTGAGGACATATCAAATGAGAAGGCATACAGCTCTGATATTCGAGAGGTAAAGATTACTCATAGCTTATCAAAAGAAAAAATTCATTCACATAAACGCACTTGGAGGGTATCTATGAAGTGCTATATTGAATGAGGAAGTAAAATTAGCTATAGCCTTTGCATAAGGTGAGAATGGCTGGAATAATGAATTCGTAAATGGTTGTGTTCTAAGCATGCATAGCTGCCTATATACACATTGCTTTTTTCATGTTAAGATTTTATGCGAAATGTTCATTCTTTCATTTTTTTAGTTTTTTGACTCAAATTTTGTAGGTATATTACAGTGAAGAAACACAGATAATATCTGTAGAATCTATTGAAGGTAAATGTCAAGTAAGAAAGAAGAATGATATTCCATCGTGTAGTTCCCCTGGAATATTTCAACACATGTTCTTCTGTGAGCATTTGTATGATCCTGCCACAGGCTCACTCAAGAAGGTATGGATACCGAGTCCCTTCATGTAACCTATCCATCAATTGAATCTTTGAAGGCAGGGGATCCTGTTTTATAATTTATACCTTGTATCTTTTCAATTTTAGACTTGGTATGGCCTATCTAGTTTTCATGAGGCCATGCCATTGAACTATTGCATGTGTGGTTAATTGGCTATCCTCTAAGCTGTTTCCTGTTTATGTAATTTAATTGCTGACCTCACTCTTGTCATGTTATTGTATATCTATGACTTGGAGTACTCTATCTGTGACTAAATATATGGCAAACTAAAGCTCGTTCTTCTTGTTTGGTCCCATAATAATGATATATACTTTCTATATTAAAATTTAACTCTCTGTGAATACATTTGCCCCTTTTATTTAATTATTAATTTTATAAGCTGATACGTATATGATTATTATTCATATGATTCATATAAGATTCTGTAGCAAGTCCAATAAATGCTTTGTATGAATTACCATAATTAGTTTGGTCTTCTATCATGCCATTAAATAGTTGCCAGCACCCATCAAATTAAGATACTCCAATGGAGATGCTGGTGAGGATGCAACCAGGAAGAAGAAGGGAAAGTGCAAAGAGGGAGAGGGTATTTCAGAAAGAGATGGGGAAAAAAAGACATTGAGTGAGAATCGCCTAGCAACCCTAGACATTTTTTCTGGCTGTGGTGGTTTATCAGAGGGATTGCAGCAGTCAGGTAAATTTAATTACACTTCCATAACAAGAAATACAATATTTATGCTAAATGCATCATATAATTTGTGCACTAATGCTTGAATGCTACAGGAGTTTCATCAACTAAGTGGGCTATCGAGTATGAAGAACCAGCTGGTGATGCATTCAAACTCAATCATCCTGAATCATTGGTGTTTATCAACAACTGCAATGTTATTCTTAGGTAAATTTTCATGTTGCATTAAACTTTCCCTGTGGCCACTCTTGAAAATGGCCCCCTTTGCATTTGAACTTCTGGTGCATTGGAATGTAGGGCTGTGATGGAGAAGTGTGGCGATGCAGATGATTGTGTCTCAACCTCTGAGGCTGCAGAATTAGCTACTAAATTAGATGAGGTGGAAATAAATAATTTGCCTATACCAGGGCAAGTGGATTTCATTAATGGGGGTCCTCCATGTCAGGTCTCTCTGGCTTCCGGAATTCTAGCCATTCTGCTATGAGAAGAATTTTTGGGTACTTATTAAATAATTATATGTCTTGTGCCAGGGATTCTCTGGGATGAACAGGTTCAATCAGAGTACTTGGAGTAAAGTTCAGTGTGAGATGATACTAGCATTCTTATCTTTTGCTGATTATTTCCGGCCGAGATATTTCCTGTTAGAGAATGTGAGGACCTTTGTGTCTTTCAATAATGGACAGACATTCAAATTAACCTTAGCTTCGCTTCTTGAGATGGGGTACCAGGTAAACTGCTCAACTGCAATTTGTTCTCTTGTTTTCATGATTAATTACACTTTGGGGACACTAATGAACACTTATTTGTATGTATAAAGGTGAGGTTTGGTATCTTGGAGGCTGGGGCTTTTGGTGTTTCACAGTCAAGAAAACGGGCCTTTATATGGGCAGCCTCCCCGGAGGACATTCTTCCGGAGTGGCCTGAACCAGTGCACGTTTTTTCAGCTCCAGAGTTGAGAATCTCTTTATCAAACAGTGTCCAGTATGCTGCTGTTCGCAGTACGGCAAATGGTGCTCCATTCCGTGCAATAACTGTTCGAGATACCATTGGAGATCTTCCTCCAGTGGGCAATGGGGCTTCTAAAGCAAACATGGAGGTATATCGTCACACAAGAAAAATATCTGTAAGGTACCCTTTTGTTTTTGCATCGGTATTTTCTTATATACTGACCTTATTCTTTGTTGCACAGTATCAAAGTGATCCTGTTTCATGGTTCCAAAAGAATATTCGGGGTGATATGGCTGTCTTGACTGACCATATATCAAAGGAAATGAATGAACTGAATGTGATTCGATGTCAGAAGATCCCTAAGAGGCCAGGTGCAGATTGGCGTGATCTTCCTGATGAGAAGGTAATATTGAATTCTTTTGTGGCTTTTGAGACAACTAGACTGATTGAACTGAGCTGTGGTATCAACTATCAATGAAACGCAGGTAACATTGTCTACGGGACAAGTAGCAGATTTGATCCCATGGTGTCTGCCCAACACAGCCAAGAGACACAACCAATGGAAGGGGCTGTTTGGTCGATTGGATTGGGAAGGAAATTTTCCCACTTCCATTACAGATCCTCAACCAATGGGGAAGGTTGGAATGTGCTTCCATCCTGATCAAGACAGGATCCTTACTGTTCGAGAGTGTGCCCGATCCCAAGTAAGTGTATTTACTTGTTATCTATTGCCTTAAACGCCCCAACACATTTCAGGTGACTATACAATGTGCAAATGAAAATTCCATAAGGTGGATACCAAGCTTAGGCTCCTAATATTCATCTTGGTACCTTTTGTATCATGAAAAACCGGTAGGTGAAAAAGTCAAGGATTCATATTAACTGTAGGCAGTAATAAACTACTTTCTCCTTGAAAAACAGAAAATGATGTGTCTGTCTCAGAAGGTAATTGCAAGTCCGAAAATGGCTGAAATTTTTAAATATAGTGATCTTTCTTTCCCTCCCAAATGGGAAAATGGTGCCATTTGTTTGGCTGTAGCCTATAAATTGACATTCCTCACATTCATTAATGCAGGGTTTCCCAGATAGCTATCAATTTTCTGGAAACATTCAACACAAGCACAGGCAGATTGGGAATGCTGTTCCTCCTCCTTTGGCATTCGCATTAGGGAGAAAACTGAAAGAAGCCTTGGATAGCAAGAAATCTGATTAGGGAGATTTGGATAACAGTAATTGATGTTTTTGGGATTAAATGATGGTCCCAATCCTTCAAAATTGTAAATTATCGTCATGGGATCGTTGTACAGAAACATGGAAGCTAGTAATTGGGGGTTCATTCTTGACTTCGGAATTGTAGTTATGATCTTTAGCAAAGATGGAAACATTGAGTCTGTCTTGAGTAAAACTTGCCCATTGTATTTTTTTTCCCCCTTATATGCCAATCAGTGCATGCTCTGCAAATATTTCATTTTTAGAAAAATAATATTAAAAAATATACATGTGATATAGTTGAAATAAATTACTATCTTTAAAATATACTAATAGGCTTTTTGAGACTCTCCATCTCGTATCTATTGGATTTATTTCTTGAAGTACTTTAAAAAAAAAACCTTCTCTCCAGCTATTTCAGCTTAAGATGTGAAAGTGTCTCTCTCTCTCTTTATAAGAACGGTGCGTTTTGAGGTGTAAAGCGGGAGAGAAGAGGTTTCATAATTGGGGTTTTAAATTAGATGACCTTTTCATTTTTCATTCTTATTACTTTTTCATATTGAAAAAGTAATAGCTTAAGTGGTAATGAAAGAATTGACGATTGTTAGTGCTTAGATTTATTGTGTATGTGGAAAAAATTGACAAGTAATTGTATAGATTTTTCACACTGAAGTTTTTTTATTATGTAAGTTATAGCATACCGTCGCAATACGTTCAGTAATGGAAAAAATGGTTATCATTTTTTGGTCAAAAAAATGGGTTATTCTTTAGTATAATTTATTTCTATGATATAGGCACAAAGAGAAAAGATCTTAAACAGTTAGCCTATCTGTCAAAAAAAAACAAAGAAAGATAGAAAATAAAAGATCTTAAAGTCCATTTTAAACATTTATGTTATCTTGTGAAATGAAAAGATGGGTTGTTGAGGTCTGGCAAGTGTCAAGTCCTCCAGAATTAATCTCAATATGAAGAAAATATATATTAGAATGGATCTAATTTGTGTCAGTTATTACGATAATATTGTTTCGTTATGAAACTTTACTATTTTTTTTTAATGAAACTCTTATGTTTTAATAATCGAATACCAAGTCAAATCATTTGTAATAAAGTCAACTATTCTTTTACCGTGATGAATTGATAGCGTTTTTTTCTCTCTCTAGAAAATATGTACTCATTCCGGTTCTAAATATATAATCCATTTTGTAATATAATTTGCACTATAAAATAAGTCTTATATTTAGGACAGGAGAAGTAGTATTCTTTCTTTCTTTCGTTTTCTCTTCTGTCATTTAATATCACAATGGTACTGTTTAAAAATTTAACATTTTATTTCCAAGAAAAATATGTTACATTTATTTCACAAGTGGGCAAGAGGCATAAGAAGACAAATGACGCAAGTGGAGGGAGAAAGAGACGTCGCCAAAATAGGAAGTAAATGAAAGCACCACCACTGAGGCACTGAACATTTCTGGCCAAATCATTTTGTCATGTACTACCTCCTGTTCTTAATATAAGATCTCGTTTGACTTTTTATTTGATCCTAATTATAAGATCCCAATCCATTTTGTCTCTCATATTTATGCAGTTTTTTCCAAGATAATCCTTCTAATAATGATAGTTCTAACCAATATACTTAATTAGCAAGGATATTTTAGGAATGACAACACTTATTTATTACAAATAACTAACTTAACTTACTTCTTTAATCTCCTCAAATAAGTGAACTGGGTCTTATAATTAAGATCGGAAGTAGTATTATGTTTTTATAATTTTTTTTCCCCAAAAATATAAGGTCACGTTCAAATGGTGGGTAAGAAAACAAAGAAGAGTAGGTCCAGTATGTAAATCTGAGAGATACTTGGATATCTGCCGGCCAAAATTGAAGGCTGACTCTGGGGAAGTGCCACAAGGAAAGCCCTCTTCAAGGTCCTTTTTTAGTAAGCATGATTCGAACTCCCACCCTTTTTACCAGAAACAATTCAAGTGCGCCTGCTTGTGGCCTAGCTGGTCATCACTAAGACTAACAAATTTGTCTAAAAAAATTTAATTTAATATAACCAATGAGAATTGAGTATAACAGAAGGAGCTAATCTATTATAATATAACGAATCAAGATTTGAATCTGTATTGAAAGGAATGTTCACATTTAATGCCAGTAACATCTCAAATATAATTGTCTCCGGTTAGAAGGATACTATGCATAGAAAAAAAAATTGACAAAAAATTGACTTAATGTGATTACAAGTTGCTGTCTAAATATTTGATCCCCCCCAAAACAGCGGTTTGTAACTTTATAAAATCTTTTTAAAAGAGAGAATCTCAAAAAAAAAATTAAAATTTTAAATCACTTTTGTTTACTATAATTTAATAACAATTGATTACATCTAAAAAGGAAATGATAACACATTTTTTTAATAATTTAAAATTTTGAAATTTTAGATATATATGTTTTAGATTTTCTCTTTTTAAAATCTTATTCCTACTCAAATTTGGAATAGTCAACTCATTTGAAGGCAAGTACTCTTCCGATTCTAAGTATAAGACTTATTTTATAGTGTAAATTATATTATAAAAAGAATATTATATTTAAGATAGGAGAAGGAGGAATTTTATTTCATCACGAAAATCTGCTTGTAGCGTGAGCGTGGAATATGAATTCAATGAATCAGGAGAAAGAAATCTTCTTAGGGATTCTCTGTGGTCTCCACCGTCCATTAACTCCAATATCCTTATCCGCAAATTCATTCCTTTTTTCTTTTCTTTTTTTTGATGAACAAAGAACAAGACAAACAATTAAGGTCCTGCACTACAACAAGAATGAATGGCTTCGCTCGGATCCTCCACCCCTACTCCATTAATGCCGTCTGCAAGTTCCAAGCAATCCAACTCAATGATCACATGGCGGAATCCGTGGTCCCAAGCTCGCTTTAAACCCCATATGTGTGTGTGTGTGTGTGTATGAAAGATCTAAAATTTGTTCAATTTTGATGCAATTGGCAAGACTGATTAGTATGAATGATAGCTGAGATGGGGCTTTTTGCCCATATTTTAGCCCCAAAAAATTGTTAAATTTAAATTTTATTTTGTCGAATATTATATTAGTAAAAATTAATATTTTTTCGACGCAATATTTGTAGCCTGTTTTACCCGTAAGTAATAAAAAATTTGTTTATAAGAAAATAAAGCTAAATTATACAAAGTTTCCTTAAATTTTATGTCGTGTTTTTTTTAGCCAAAAAAAGAATATCATAGTATTATGACACGATAGGGTGTCATTACCCAATTAAAATGAGAACTAGTTCGGTATTCATTATTTTGATGAACATTTTAAACTTATCAGATCTGAATCGTTCATATTTCATTCGGATTGTCCGAATTTAACTTTATTTTTTTTTTTTAAAAATAATTATTTTAATATGGATAGAATCTAAGATAGAGATAATTTATTAACTATAATTATTTCAAAACATAATTTTTCTATTTAAAAATAAATAATTAAAGATTTTAAATGTGGACCGTTCAAATTAGATATAGACGGTTCAGATATAATAATCTTAGAGTGTTCATCAAAATGATGAGTTTCGAAACTGGTTCTATCAAAATGACAGGACTCATTCAATGATAGTAACATAATCAATATTTATTTTCTTGAGAAGTCACATAAAGTGATTCCTAATTAAAGTTCTTGTCATAAAGATGTTCTCCAAAATACTATCACAGCGCCATTGTGGAAATGGGTTATTGGCTACGTTGAATAGTTAAAAGCATACAAAGTTTAAGGAAAATTATTATTAAGTTTTAAAGGTTAAAGAGATTGATTATACGAGACTATAAGTGCAGAAAAAAATTTATGTAATTTAATCTAAAGATGACAAACTAGATTAGGTTCTTCAAGTCAACACCCTTAGATTTTGTTGCAAATAGATTTTTAAATTTGCATGCATAATTTTAAATGACAAATATTTTAAAATGGAGGAAATTTATAGCCACTCAGATCCACAATAAAATGAGGCCTTTTGGGATAATTTTTTTCTTCTTACTGTTAAATTTATTCACGTTGACATTGACATGGGGGAATGAGATGACATGATTATCTGTTTTTGGATAAGAAAACAAGACTCTGTATTATTGTCTGATTAACAACTAAGTGAAATGACTTGCCCCTTGTTATATCAAAAACTCAAAAAGTATAAAGGCAATGACTTTATATATCAATTATTTGTATTTTTTGTCAATTTGGAGTACATATTTGTCATATAAATATTAAAATGCGGAAAAAAAATTTCTTGTCTAATCAATTTTTGTTTATCATAAAAGAGACTAATTTTTATAATATAGTAAACTAAGGTTTGAATTTTTATTGAAAGAAATACTTATATTTAATACTAGATAGTGTTTTGAACAAAATTATCTCTAATATGGTCATATTGTGCCTTCGAAAAAAAATCCCAATCATTTCATCTGGCTCAATCGCTGGTTCACAAAATCCCTCACACGGTAAATTTGCTGAGATGACTGGGGCAATTCTGGAAAAAAGTAAAATGCATGGATCGTGTTTGGATACTCGATTATCTCTGCCTTCTTCCCGGATTTCTTCAGCCAATCATAGTACTTCCTCTGCCGGTCTAGTAACGGGTCTAGGGCGCCCACAAATATGATTGTGTCCGGGAAATTCATGGCCGAAATATTCACCCCGTTAGGCCCCGTCACGTTTACCGCCTCATGGTCCCGGTCCGACCCATCCGGCAGGAAAAATTCCCACATCCAATCAGTATTGCCTACCGATGTTATTGGGGCTCCATCGAGTCGGATCTCGGATTCGGTCCTATCCACACCTCCAAAAAATGGTTGTATCGAAACCAAGCCGATCACTTTCACACGTTGGAGTTCCTCTTGGCAAACCCGGACCGCCACGTGATGGGCCAAGTTGGCGCCTGCACTGTCACCCGCCAAGAAGCACCTTGATAAGTCAGCAATATCGGGCAGAGCGTCACCGTTCAAGTCGAGAAACTTCAGGACGTCGAAGCCGTCGTCGTACTGAGACGGAAAACGGTGTTCTGGGCAGAGGCGGTAATTCGCGGAGACGACGACGGACGGAATCGAACGGGAGAGTTGTCTGCAAACGGCTTCGTAGGGGGGAGATGATGCGGACAGGAATGAGAAGGCGCCGCCGTGGAAGTAGACCACGACGGGAAGAAGGGAGGTGGACGAGGTAGAGATCGTGGGTGTGAAGAGACGGAACCAGAGGTTGCGGGAGGAGTCGACGGTGACGTCGGAGGACATGACGCCGTCAATGGGGTTGGGAGTGGGTGGGGCTTTAAGGTCGAAGAAGTCAAAGAGACGGCGGTTGAGGGTACCATTACGTCGGCGAGAGATATTCATGAGGGTGGAGAGGAAGAAAACTGCAATACGTACCTTCAATGGAAGGTGGGATATAGAAACGGAAGCCATCCCTTGAGTTCGCAGTGAGCTTCGTCGTCGGCAGATGCTCGGATTTATAAGCCGGAACGTAGTGCATAGCACACTATTCCAGATTTTTTTTTGGGCCATTAAAATTATGAATGATGTCTATAAATGTAATTTCTCCGTCTTAAATGCTCTTTTTATTTAAAATATAAGCTAAACTTTATTAGAAAATTTTAGTTTTTTTATAAGATAATAATCTTTTGGTCTTATTTATAGGACAGAGAGAGAATATTTTTTTTGGTTCTATTTATAATCCATTTCATTAAATTTTTACCATGAATGTACCATATTGTTTTTTATTTATTATAGTGTAGATAGTTATTTTTTAAAAAGCATATATTAAATAGGATTAAAGTTAGGAAGTTGTTATATTTTAATGAAAAATTAATACAGTTTAAGGTTTTTCTTAGTCTATGTGAAACATATTAAAAGTATTTTATAAATAGGACCAAAAGAATATTATTTTTGTCTAAGCATTTAATGATTTTTTTTTCAATTTTATCTCACATATATTTTATTTATTTATTTATTGTATTTTTTACTTATTCTCTATATTAATAAGAGTATATTTCAGAAAAAATATATACCTTGCATATTTATTGTTTTAAATTGGTTTTAACTAATTTTTTAATAAATATATATAGATAAAATTTATTTTATATTTTAAACCAGAGAGTATAAAGTAACTTTAACCAATTTAAGCATTTTTGAAAGAAAAAAAAAAGGTTTATTTCTAATCATTCTAATGCACCTTCGTCCCGCAGAACTAGTCAAGGAAAAAAAAAAAAAAACCTTCACCTCACAGAAGTCTTTTTCATTCTCATTTGTTTTTTTTTTCTTAACCAATAACATATCAGGCTTGTTGTTCTTAATTTCATGTTTGTAGTTAGTTGGGCTACCTTATTGCTATCGTTCGGTGGAAGTGCCCTTGTTGGGCTATACACATTCCCCTTTTTCTGCGTATTCTTCTGTTTTTATTTTCCCTTTTCAACTGTTTTTGGTCTTTTGAGTCTGTGTGTGTCCGAGCGGCCCAACGGGTTTATTTGAGTGTCTGAGTGATGTGCGAAGCGTGGGGTTTACCATTGATTTTTTTTTTTTTGGGGGGGGGGGAAGCATTGAAATAGGAACTCGGATAACTTAGTTTGCTCCAAAAAAAAAAAAACACACGCACACACATACACACACACACACCTTGACATTTAAATAAAGAATATTTTGGTAAAAGAAAATAAAAAATCAACTGTTGATAAGTTGATTTGAAAATGTAAAAAAATGAAATTGAAATCATCACCAGGGCTGCCTTCTTTTAGACTTTTACTCTCCTTCTCTCATCCTCGTCTGGATTTCACGCAGGATAAAATATCATCTCACACTCTAATTTTATTTATGATATACTACTATTTAACATCATAATGTTATGGATGCATTATAAATAAGATTAAAGTAATAAATAATATGCAATTCAAAAATAATATCAAGATTGATACTCCTTTTGTCCTTAATGTAAAATCTAATTAATTAATTTGATTACATTAAGAATATTGGCTAAATTAGTTAATATGATATGTTTTTTTTAAAACACCTTAACCATCTTTCTTAATTCTCTCCATTCCTCTTTTGTTTAATTATTATTAAGAGAATATCAATAGCGTTAATGTAAAAAAAATGTGAAATAGGTCTTACATATAGGAATAATATTAACTCTTAAATTAAGTCCTATATTAAGAATATAAAGAGTGCTTTGTTATTTAACATTATTAAAAAAATTTGATTTAATTTTAATCCAATAACTAGGATCAGAGAAAAGAAAGTAAGAAAATAATTAGGATCAGGAAAAGGAAAGTAAGAAGGAAGAGAAAAGGAGAGACCCACTCCTCGATTTATTAACATTTCAAGAAACCCGAAAAGTGAAAAGGGACCATACTGTCATTGTATCGATTATTGAGGTTGGTGGGGAGTCATTGTCCCATGGACGATGGGGAACTTGTCTTCAACCCATCAGCATCTTCAGCATGAAATTAAAATGCAAACCTAAACATCTACCCAAAGGGGAAAATAAGATATTGTTTTGATTTTTTTATTTTCAGAATAATTATTTAATTTTTTAAAAAATTGTTTGATAATTAATTTTCAGCCAAGTGTTTTAATTTGCCACAAAAAAAACGATGCGTTATAAAAGAATAAAAAATCAGAATAATTTTTACCTGCTATGTTATTTTTAGGGTCCATTTGGTGTGAGGAGATAGAAGGGAGAGGAGTAGAGAAAAAATATAAATGAGTTCAATTTAAAAAATTTAAAAAATAATGTTTTTAGATTTTAATTAAAAATTTAGATGAAAGAGTAATAAAAATTAATTAAAATATTTTAATCCTACTTCTCAAATTTTTTAAACCGAGCTCATTAAAATTTTTTTCCTCTTTCCTCTATTTTTCTCATATCAAACATAGGGTCAGTTTTGTACAATTGGGAGAAAAAAGAGGCAAAGAACATGTTTCATTAAAAAAGACGTCTTTTTTTTTTTTACATGTCTGTTTTTTAAATAGGAGCCAATTAGAACCACACACCCACCCATGACACTCCTGCCCCGTAGGAAGGAAAGACGGAGCAGAGGTGCCACTGGGGCACAAGAACCACGGGTCAAATATGTATATTTATCAAGCCTTGTTCTGGAAAATAACTTTATGAGAAATTAAAATAACTCTAAGAACCTAAAAAGTAAAAACAGAATTAAACAAGGCCAAGTTATCAGTCCCTATAATTTTACATCAAGTAATCATTTGTATAGGCCAATGAATATAACTTTGAGAATCTAATACACGATTAATATAATTTTTAGTTCTTAAAATTTTACTTTATTTTGGTTTTCATTTACTTGATTATAATTGAGACAATATCTATAGAGATAATTTAAAAAAAATTATAAATATAAAAAATAAATCTTATATTTAAAAACAATATATATAGCTTTATAAATTTTAGCGGCCATATAATTGAGGCCACTCTTCTCATTAATTTTAGGGGCCACACCACCGTATGCCAACCAGATATTACTATAATTGAGGCTGTCTCTTCTTATTATCATATCCATGTAATTAACATTACTATCTCCTGCCAAAAAGCACTTGGACATTTCAGTGTTTTTGGGTGAAACGTTGGCGTTTTTGTGGAGGAACTGGAGGACGTCAGAACTGTCATCGTATTGAGCAGGATACCAATCCTCCGGGATGGGACGGTAATTCACAGAGGTGACAACAGCAGAAAACTTACACGCAAACTGCCTGCAAATGGCGTCGTACGCGTGGGAAGCCGGTGAAAGGTACGTGAACCCACCGTCGTGAAAGAAGACAATGACGGGAAGATACAAAGAAGTGGTGCTCGTTGGTGTGAAAAGCCTGGAACCAGAGGTTTCGAGCGGGGTCGACTGTAGTGTTGGAGGATTTAACACCTTTAACGGGTTTCGGATTGGGGCCGGTTTTGCGGTCGAGGATGTTCATGAGACGGCTGTTGAGGGTGCCGTCAGGACGGCGAGGGGCGTCGGTGAAAAAAATTGATTTTTTTCCCATCATCAGATATCTTGCAACCATGAAATGGTGAAATTTTGTATATTTTATTACTTTAATTTTAAATAAAAATTCAAAACTGCATCCACAATTAATCAAAACTATCATATTTTAATCCAACGGTGTTATATCATGATATATAGTCAGGGATAGGTAGGAGATCCAATCTCCAAAAAGAAAACTACTTTTAGTCTTAATTATAAAATTTTATTTATAAACTATAAATAAGATCTTATAATTAGAGTTAGATGTATATAATGATTGGTAAACTTACCTACTACACGGTGGATGATACATATTTCAATTTACAGGTTACTTGGTAGAAAGACCATAAGCCGTAATTACGGAGAAATAATCACACGTGGCACACATGGATTCGTGCACATGTTTGACCTTCAATGTCGAGGAAGGAATTCTGAGATGGCAGGATTACCGTAAGTTTGAAGAAAGAAATATGTGCACTAAAAAATCTTGCAACAATTGAGCAACTTGTTTGAAGAAAGAGGTTTGTCCATTAAAAAGTTGTATAACAATTTTGGTTTTTTTTTTTTGGGCCTCATAATAATTCTTCCTTTTGAGATTATAGTAGCTAATCACCACTATGGTAACATGTTCTAACATTAAATTAACTCTCATATTTAGAATCTAATATGAATATAATGACCAGTAAACTTACCTACTGCACCGTAAATGATGCACATATACTCTTTTAGTTTTATTTATAAGTCACTTCTAACATATTTTATAAGATTAAAAAAAACCTTAAATTTTATTAATTTTCATTTAAAATTTAATAATCTTTTAATTTTATTCCTATTTAATATATATTATACCGTACACAAAATCAACACTTTTTCACATGCATAAAAATCCCACTATATATGCGGCAATAGAGCTCAAGAGGAAGATGATGTTTGTGACAAGAGATGATAAACATCGAACAAAAATGAAAATTAAGGAACAGAGGAACCAAGACATCACATAAAACAGAGGCGGCCAAGAACTTATAAGCTCGATCCTATTTCATTACAGTCTGGACAGGCGCTTATTGATGAAATCCTTCACTTGGGAAATTAACTGTGAAGCTTCGGGCAATTCTGGAAACAGATAAAATGCATGGATGCTGTCTGGATACTCGATTAATTCCGCCTCTTTCCCGGATTTCTTTAACCACTCATAGAACCTCCTCTGCCAGTCCTGCAACGGGTCAAAACCACCCACGAACACTAACGTACCCGGATAATCCATACCCGATATATCCACAGCGTTCGGCCCGCTCACGTTAACCGCTTCGTGGTCTCGGTTGCACCCCTCCGGTAGAAACACCTTCCATATCCAATCGGTCCTCTTGGCCGAGACCAACGGCACGTTTACAAGTCGGGTCTCCGATTCCGTCCTCTCCTCTCCTCCGAAAAACGGCTGGATTGAAATCTGCCCGACGATCCGCACATTCTGGAGCCTGCTCCGGCAAACCCGAA